ACACATACCATGTGAAGTGTGTGCAAGAGTGGTTGCGGATGAAGAGTTGGTGCCCTATCTGCAAAGCTACTGCAGAGACCTCATCCTCTAAGTAACCGTCTTCATTTTCTTCCTCGTCCTTGTAGTATTTCTTTCATCTATAGCCTGTGAACAACAATGGAACCCGCCTAAAAAGGTTCTCACCATTTCCTTTGTGTACATACCAATTCCAATTCGCACTGGCTGTCTCTCTTGCCTGTATTTACTCTATACCTCTTTTGTCTAATGACAGAACTCTCATGTGTTTTCTTTGTCTTTGCGCCTATTTCCATAATGTAAAGTGGCAAAGGCGGAAAAGATGTCTTTTGAAGAACAAAGATTTCGTCTTAAATTCTTAATCTCGGACAATATGTTGAAAAGCAACAAAGAACTGGTATCTATGGACACAATAAGTTTTGTGGGGAAAAGACATTCAAATAACACGAAAGAATTTGCCTTCTGCACAAGGCACACCATTTTGGCCGTTTTTTGAATCTGTAGCTACAATTCCGGCACATCAGGATGTAATCAAACTGCTAGAAAACCCCATTTTAAGCTACAATTCCGACAAGCTTCTTCACCGCGACATAAGTTCGAAGATGCAAGAGAGAAGATGAAGAACTCACCAGAAAGTGGAGACTTCATAGGTTGCTTACTAATCTACAGTGTGGTATCAGCATTTTTTTTCCCAATAAAATATTCCAATCCAGATTTGCCAGAAGATGCAGTTTTGGTTCAAAGAAGCAAAAAAATCACCTGTTTCAGTATCTCTGAACAGTGAACACTCTGGCTTATAGGAACAAAGATGATTCTCATTTTTATGAGAACCATTAACCTTACAGGCATATGAAACAGAAAGAGAGAGATTAAAAACCAACCAAGAGCAAACAAACAGTTTTTGTATCCCATTATATTCAATCTAACAGCAAAACACACATGAGCCGGCTCATTTTGCATCCAAGCGAGAGCCAAGGGTTTCCAACAAAACAGACCAACAATTAATGTTGCATAGCATCTGAAAGCAGAATCATCAAAGGATTTGGAATCTGAATTTCATGAATCACCAAAGCCAGAGATAAGACATATTTTCCTTTGTAACTCGGTTCAAATTACTTGGCAGGATCATCCGAAACGAAATGGTTCCAAATTTATGTCAATACCCTGTAGGGTAAAAGAAACAAGCAAGAAAACCAGCAGTAGAATGTAAACAATTCATTGAGAACTTTGTAAAACACTTTTCCATTGAAATGAGAAAACAA